CCAGGGTGGATTTTGAGGATCCCCAGGTGAATTTTGGGGTGCCCAGGTAATTTTGGGTCCCCCCAGGTGTGTTTTGGGGTGCCCAGGTGAGTTTTGGGGTCTCACCTGCCTGTCAGGTCCCTCCTTACCCTCCTGGCTCTGGGACGGGGATTTGGGATCTCAGGGAGGATTTGGGGTTCTTGGGAAGGATTTTGGGATCATGAGGAGAATTCTGGAGATCCCCAGGTGGATTTTGGGTCCCCCCAGGTGTGTTTGGGGTCTCACCTGTCTGTCTGGCCCCTCCTTGCCCACCCCGGCCTGGGGCTCTGGGATGGGGATTTTTGGGTCCCAGGGTGGATTTTGAGGATCCCCAGGTGATTTTGGGTCCCTCCAGGTAGATTTTGGGTCCCCCCAGGTGATTTTGGGGTGCCCAGGTGTGTTTGGGGTCTCACCTGTCTGTCTGGCCCCTCCTTGCCCACCCCGGCCTGGGGCTCTGGGATGGGGATTTTTGGGTCCCAGGGTGGATTTTCAGGATCCCCAGGTGAGTTCTGGGTATCCCCAGGTGAGTTTTGGGTCCCCCCAGGTGATTTTGGGGTCCCCAGGTGTGTTTGGGGTCTCACCTGTCTGTCTGGCCCCTCCTTGCCCACCCCGGCCTGGGGCTCTGGGATGGGGATTTTTGGGTCCCAGGGTGGATTTTCAGGATCCCCAGGTGAGTTCTGGGTATCCCCAGGTGAGTTTTGGGTCCCCCCAGGTGGATTTTGGGTCCCCCCAGGTGATTTTGGGGTGCCCAGGTGTGTTTGGGGTCTCACCTGTCTGTCAGGCCCCTCCTTGCCCGCCCCGGCCGGGGGCTCCTGCAGCTTCTCCGTGTACCTGAGCAGGAGGGAGTTCCCCAGGCGGGACCCCAGGAACAGATAGCCGGGCTCCAGAGGGACCATCTGGGGACACAGGTGTCCTGAGCGTCCCCAGGTGTGCCCAGGTGTCCCCGGGTGTCCCCGGGTGTGCCCAGGTGTGCCCAGGTGCTTACACAGGTGGTGAGGACGGAGGCGGCTGCTTTGTCGAAGTGGAAGGAGCGCACGGAGCGCATCCCGTCCGTGATCAGCGTCAGCACGTAGCTGGGACAGCAAAGGGACACCTCAGGGGGGGTGACAAACACTTGGGGACACCCCTGAGTCCTTGGGGACACCCCCAAACCCCTGGGAACACTCCCAAATATTTGGGGACACCCCCAGGACCCCAGGGACACCCCACTGTCCCAGGGACAGAGCACATCCTGTCCCTGATCAGTGTCAGCATATAGTTGGAACAGCAAAGGGACACTTCAGGAGGGGTGACAAACACTTGGGGACACCCCAAACCCTTGGGGACATCCCCAAATCCTTGGGGACACACCCAGGGACCCCCCATTATCCCAGGGATGGAGCGCATCCTGTCCGTGATCAGCATCAGCACGCAGCTGGGACAGAAAAGGGACACCTCAGGGGGGGGGACAAACACTTGGGGACACCCCTGAGTCCTTGGGGACACCCCCAAACCCCTGGGAACACTCCCAAATATTTGGGGACACCCCCAGGACCCCAGGGACACCCCACTGTCCCAGGGACAGAGCACATCCTGTCCCTGATCAGTGTCAGCATATAGTTGGAACAGCAAAGGGACACTTCAGGAGGGGTGACAAACACTTGGGGACACCCCAAACCTTTGGGGACAACCCCGAGTGGTTGGGGACACCCCCAAATCCTTGGGGACACACCCAGGACCCCCCATTATCCTAGGGATGGAGCGCATCCTGTCCGTGATCAGCGTCAGCACGCAGCTGGGACAGAAAAGGGACACCTCGGGGGGGTGACAACACTTGGGGACACCCCTGAGTGCTTGGGGACACCCCCAAATCCCTGAGGACACCCCCGAGTGGTTGGGGACACCCCAAAATCCCTGGGACACCCCCAGAAACCCAGGGACCCCCCATTGTCCCAGGGACAGAGTGCATCCTGTCCATGATCAGAATCAGGACAAAACTGCAACAGGGAAGGGACAGCTCAGGGGGGGACAGGGGACACCCCAAAACCCTTGGGGACATCCCTGAGTGGTTGGAAACACCCCAAACCCCTGGGGACACCCCCAGGGACCCCCCATTGTCCCACAGGATGGAGCGCATCCCGTCCGTGATCAGCATCAGCACAAAGCTGGGACAGCAAAGGGACACCTCAGGGGAGGTGACAAACACTTGGGGACACCCCCAAACCCTTGGGGACACCTCCAAATCCTTGGGGACACCTCTAAGTTTTTGGAGACATCCCCAAATATTTGGGGACACCCCCAGGGACCCCCCATTGTCCCAGGGATGGAGTGCATCCTGTCCGTGATCAGCATCAGCACAAAGCTGGGACAGGGAGGTGACAGCACAGGGGAGGGTGACAGGACACAACAAACCCTTGGGGACACCCCCAAGTGGTTGGGGACACGCCCAGATACCTTGGGGACACCCCCAGGACCCACCAAATCCCTGGAGACCCTTCCCCCAGACCCTCAGAACCACCCTAAAATCCCCCCAGGACCCTCTCTTGTCTCATGGGAAGGAGGGGACAGAGCTCATCCTGTCCCCAGACAGTGCCAGGACACGGCTGGGACAGGGGGTGGCACCTCAGGGGGGGACATGGGACACCCCCACAATCCTTGGGGACACCTCCAAAACCTCTGGGGACACCCCAAATCCCTGGAGATGTTCCCAAGACCCGCAGGGACCCGTCCCTTATCCCAGGGGAGGGAGGGGACAGAGCTCATCCTGTCCCCAGACAGTGCCAGGACACGGCTGGGACAGGGGGTGGCACTTCAGGGGGGGACATGGGACAGCCCCAAATCCTTGGGGACACCCCCAAACCCTTGGGGACACCCCCAAAATCCTTGGGGACACCCCCAGACTCACATCTCCCCACCCTTGAGCGAGATGACCATCTTGTCATAGGAGATGAAGGTGGCCTGGGCACAGTCCAGAGTCATCCTCACGCCCTCCTGGACCCCTGGGGACAGCGACGGGGACAGTCACAGCTGGGGACAGGGACAGCTGGGGTGGGGACGGGGACAAGGATGGGGACAGGGACAGTCACAGCTGGGGACAGGGACAAGGATGGGGACAGCGACGCGGACAGTCACAGCTGGGGACAGGGACAGCTGGGGTGGGGACGGGGACAAGGATGGGGACAGGGACAGCTGGAGTGGGAACAGGGATGGGATGGGCACAAGGATGGGGACAGGGACAGTCACAGCTGGGGACAGGGACAAGGATGGGGACAGCGACGCGGACAGTCACAGCTGGGGACAGGGACAGCTGGGGTGGGGACAGGGATGGCACGGGCACAAGGATGGGGACAGGGACAGGGACAGTCACAGCTGGGGACAGGGACAGCTGGGGTGGGGACAGGGGTGGGACAGGGATGGGGATGGGGACAGGGACAGGAATGGGTACAGGGAGAGGGACAAGGACAGGGGTGGGGACAGGGAGAGGGACAGGGACAGAGGTGGGGACAAGGACAGGGATGGGGACAGGAATGGGTACAGGGACAGGGGTGGGGACAGGGACGGGGACACAGGGATGGGACTGGGACAGGGACAGGGACAGGGGTGGGGACAGGGAGAGGGAATAGGGACAAGGACAAAGATGGGGACAGGGATAGATACAGGGATGGGGACAGGGCCAGGGATTGGACAGGGACAGTGACACGGGATAGGGACAGGGACAGGGGATAGGGCCAGGAATGGGACAGAGACTGGGACAAGGAGGGGGACGGGGATAGGTACAGGGATGGGGACAAGAATGAGGACAGGGACTGTGACATGGGACAGGGCCAGGGATTGGACAGGGACAGTGACATGGGATAGGGACAGGGACAGGGATGGGGATAGCTACAAGGATGGGGACAGGAATGAGGACAGGGACTGTGACATGGGACAGGGACAAGAATGAGGACAGGGACTGTGACATGGGACGGGGACAGGGATGGGGATAGCTACAAGGATGGGGACAGGAATGAGGACAGGGACTGTGACATGGGACAGGGACAAGAATGAGGACAGGGACTGTGACATGGGACAGGGACAGGGATGAGCACCTGTCTGTGTCACTGTCACTGTCATTGTCATTTTGTCACTGTCACTGTCAGCTGTCAGTGTCACCTGTCAGTGTCAATGTCACTGTGTCACTGTCATTGTCATTGTGTCACTGCCACTGTCACCTGTCAGTGTCACCTGTCACTGTCAGTGTCACCTGTCAGTGTCACCTGTCACGTCTCTGTGTCTGTGTCACTGTGTCACTGTGTCTGTGTGTCTGTGTCTGTGTGTCTGTGTCACTGTGTCACTGTGTCACTGTCACTGTGTCACTGTCACTGTGTCACTGTCACTGTGTCACTGTCACTGTGTCACAGAGTCACTCACCGATGGGTTTGGGCACGGGCAGGGCCTGGGTGCAGTCGAAGGGCAGCGAGCTCAGGGACCAGATGACCGGGTGCACGCGCTGCAGGATGTTCAGCGAGATGGCCACGATGCTGCAGGTGTCCTGTCGCACTGCCACCCGCCTGTGGGGACACCCCAAGGTCACCCGGGGGTCACACACACAGCCTGACCCCACACCTGGCCTGTCCCACTGCCACCCGCCTGTGGGGACACCCCAATGTCACCCGGGGGTCACACACACAGCCTGACCCCACACCTGGCCTGTCCCACTGCCACCCGCCTGTGGGGACACCCCAATGTCACCAGAAGTGACCCCTGACCGCTCAGCCATGTCACCCCTGAACTGGGCAGGGTCCCTGTGTCCCCAGTGTCACTGTCACCTGCACTGGGACCTTCCAGACCTGAGACCCCAAAACTCCCCTGAACTCCTAAAGCCCCCAAAATCCCCCAAATTCCCCCAAACTGCCCCAAAATCCCCCCCAAAACTGACCCAGACCAGCTCTGGTTGGACTCAAAGGGGAGGATCAGGGTGGGACTGGGGGGTCTATGGTGGAACTGCAGGGGATGGTACCCCCAAACCCCCCTGAAACCCCCCCACATTCCCTCCAAACTGGCTCCAGTTCCCTCCAAACCACCCCAAATCTGCCTGAAACCACCCAAAATCCCCCCCAAACCCCAAAACTGACCTGGGCCAGGTCTGTTTTGGGGGCTCAAAGAGGATCAGCAGCGTGGGCTCAAGGCAGCCATGGGTGAACTGAATGGGCTGGGACCCCTAAAACCCCCTGAAATCCCCCCAAATCACCCCAAATTTCCCTGAAACTGCCCCAAATCCCCCCCAAAGCCCACAACTGACCCGGGCCAGGTCTGGTTGGGCGCCAAGAGGATCAGCAGGGTGGGCTCATAGTAGTCATAGGGGAACTGAATGGGCTGGGATCCCTCCTGAGACCCCAAAACCCTCTAAAACACGACCAAAACCCCCTGAAATCTCTCCAAATTCCCCCAAACTACTGCAAAACCCCCTTAAATCCCCCCTAAAGCCCAAAACTGATCCGGGCCAGGTCTGGTTGGACTCAAAGAGGATCAGCAGCGTTGGCTCATAGTAGCCATACAGGAACTGCATGGGCTGGGACACCCTGAAATCTGCCAAGACCCCCTGAAACCCCCCTAAACTGTCCCAAATTCCCGGTTTGGGGGGGCCCGGGGGGGGTCCGGGGGGGTCTCTCACCCCTCTCCCACCAGTCCCTCGTGCTCGTCGGCCAGCGAGTCGCGGCGGAAGGGCAGCACCACCAGGCGCGTGCCGTAGATCAGCATCACCGCGCAGCGCCCGTCGGGGTCCACGCGCACGCGCGGCGTGTGCACGTTCTGCACGAAGCCATCCTGCAAAAACAGGGGTTTGGGGGGTCTGGAACCCCAAAATCCATCCCAGAGATCTGGGTGCACGTTCTGCACGAAGCCATCCTGCAAAAACAGGGGTTTGGGGGGTCTGGAACCCCAAAATCCATCCCAGAGATCTGGGTGCACGTTCTGCACGAAGCCATCCTGCAAAAACAGGGGTTTGGGGGGTCTGGAACCCCAAAATCCATCGCAGAGATTTGGGTGCATGTTCTGCACCAAGCCATCCTGCAAAAACAGGGATTTGAGATAACTCTGGGATCTGGGAAAACCCCAAAACTCATCCCACAGCCCCGTGGGCACGTTCTGCACAAAGCCATCCTGCAAAAACACAGGGGTTTGGGAACCCTGAATGGGATTTGGGAACCCTGAAATTCATCCCAGACTCTGGGAGCACGTTCTGCACGAAACCATCCTGCAAAAATGGGAATTTGGGATAACTCTGGGATCTGGGAAAACCCCACAATCCATCCCACAGCCCCGTGGGCACGTTCTGCACAAAGCCATCCTGCATAAATGGGAATTTTGGGTGTTTGGGGGGGGTCTGGAACCCCAAAATCCATTCCAGAGTTCTGGATGCACGTTCTGCACCCAGCCATCCTGGAAAAATGGGAATTTGGGATAACTCTGGGATCTGGGAAAACCCCAAAACCCATCCCAGAGATCCCATGTGCACGTTCTGCACAAAGCCGTCCTGGAAAAATGGGAATTTGGGATGTTTGGGGGGGTCTGGAACCCCAAAACCCATCCCACAGCCTCATGTGCACGTTCTGCACGAAGCCATCCTGCAAAAATGGGAATTTGGGATAACTCTGGGATCTGGGAAAACCCCAAAATCCACCTCACAGCCCCGTGGGCACATTCTGCACCAAGCCATCCTGGAAAAACACAGGGGTTTGGGGGGTCTGGAACCCCAAAATCCATCCCAGACCTCTGGGTGCACGTTCTGCACCAAGCTATCCTGGAAAAAAAATGGGAATTTGGGGGGTCTGAAACCCCACAACCCATCCTGGAGATCTGGGTGATGTTCTGCATGAAGTGATCATGAAAAAATGGGGATTTGGGGTAACTCTGGGATCTGGGGAAACCCCAAAACCCATCCCAGAGCTCTCGGTGCACGTTCTGCACCAAGCCATCCTGGAAAAACAGGGATTTGGGATAACTCTGGGATCTGGGGAAACCCCAAAATCCATCCCAGAGATCCCGTGTGCACGTTCTGCACAAAGCCATCCTGCAAAAATGGGAATTTGGGAACCCTGAATGGGATTTGGGAACCCCAAAATCCACCTCACAGCCCCATGGGCACGTTCTGCACGAAGCCATCCTGCAAAAACAGGGATTTGGGATAACTCTGGGATCTGGGAAAACCCCAAAATCCATCCCACAGCTCCGTGTGCAGGAACTACACAAAGCCATCCTGCAAAAATGGGGATTTGGGGTAACTCTGGGATCTGGGGAAACCCCAAAACCCATCCCAGAGATCTGGGTGCACGTTCTGCACGAAGCCATCCTGCAAAAATGGGAATTGGGGGGTCTGGAGCCCCAGAATCCATCCCCAGAGTCCTGTGGGCATGAAGGCATCCTGAAAAATGGGATTTGGGGTGTTTGGGGTGGCTCTGGGATTTAAGGGACCCCAAAATTCATTTTTGGGGGGAAATTCAGGGATTTTGGAGTGTTTGGGATCACCCTGGGATCTGGGGAACCCCCAAACCCATTTTTGGGGGAAATTCAGGGAATTTGGGGGTGTGGGATGACCCTGGGATTTGAGGGAACCCCAAAATCTGGGGGGAAACTCAAGAAATTTGGGGTTATTGGATGACCCTGGGATCTGGGGAACCCCAAAATCCATTTTTGGGGGAAAATCAGGGAATTTGGGGTTCTGGGATGACCCTGGCATCTGGGGAAACCCAAAATCCATTCTGGGGGTAAAATTAGGGATTTTGGAGTGTTTGGGATGACCCTGGGATCTGGGGAACCCCTAAACCCATTTTTGGGGGAAATTCAGGGAATTTGGGGGTGTGGGATGACCCTGGGATTTGAGGGAACCCCAAAATCTGGGGGGAAACTCAAGAAATTTGGGGTTATTGGATGACCCTGGGATCTGGGGAACCCCAAAATCCATTTTTGGGGGAAAATCAGGGAATTTGGGGTTCTGGGATGACCCTGGCATCTGGGGAAACCCAAAATCCATTCTGGGGGTAAAATTAGGGATTTTGGAGTGTTTGGGATGACCCTGGGATCTGGGGAACCCCTAAACCCATTTTTGGGGGAAATTCAGGGAATTTGGGGGTGTGGGATGACCCTGGCATCTGGGGAAACCCAAAATCCATTCTGGGGGTAAAATTAGGGATTTTGGAGTGTTTGGGATGACCCTGGGATCTGGGGAACCCCTAAACCCATTTTTGGGGGAAATTCAGGGAATTTGGGGGTGTGGGATGACCCTGGCATCCTGCAAAAATGGGAATTTGGGATAACTCTGGGATCTGGGAAAACCCCAAAACCCATCCCAGAGATCCCGTGTGCACGTTCTGCACAAAGCCATCCTGCAAAAATGGGAATTTGGGATGTTTGGGGGGGTCTGGAACCCCAAAACCCATCCCACAGCCTCATGTGCACGTTCTGCACGAAGCCATCCTGCAAAAACAGGGGTTTGGGGGGTCTGGAACCCCAAAATCCATCCCAGAGATCTGGGTGCACGTTCTGCACGAAGCCATCCTGCAAAAATGGGAATTGGGGGGTCTGGAGCCCCAGAATCCATCCCCAGAGTCCTGTGGGCATGAAGGCATCCTGAAAAAATGGGATTTGGGGTGTTTGGGGTGGCTCTGGGATTTAAGGGACCCCAAAATTCATTTTTGGGGGGAAATTCAGGGATTTTGGAGTGTTTGGGATCACCCTGGGATCTGGGGAACCCCCAAACCCATTTTTGGGGGAAATTCAGGGAATTTGGGGGTGTGGGATGACCCTGGGATTTGAGGGAACCCCAAAATCTGGGGGGAAACTCAAGAAATTTGGGGTTATTGGATGACCCTGGGATCTGGGGAACCCCAAAATCCATTTCTGGGGGAAAGTCAGAGAATTTGGGGTTCTGGGATGACCCTGGCATCTGGGGAAACCCAAAATCCATTCTGGGGGAAAAATTAGGGATTTTGGAGTGTTTGGGATGACCCTGGGATCTGGGGAACCCCAAAATCCATTTCTGGGGGAAAGTCAGAGAATTTGGGGTTCTGGGATGACCCTGGCATCTGGGGAAACCCAAAATCCATTCTGGGGGGGAAATCAGGGACTTTGGAGTGTCTGGGATCACCCTGGGATCTGGGGAACCCCCAAACCCATTTTTGGGGGGAAACTCAAGGATTTTGGGGGTGTGGGATGACCCTGGGATCTGGGGGACCCCAAAACCCATTTTTTGGGGTGAAATTCAGGGAATTTGGGGGTGTGGGATAACCCTGGGATCTGGAGGAACCCCAAAATCCATTCGGGGGGAAAAAATGGGAATTTTGGGGTTGTGGGATAACCCTGGGATCTGGGGAACCCCAAAATTTGGGGGGAAACACAGGGATTTGGGGTTGTGGGATGATCCTGGGATCTGGGGAACCCCCAAACCCATTTTTGGGGTGAAATTCAGGGATTTTGGGGGTGTGGCCCCACCCGCAGCTCCGGTTCCTCGAAGTAGTGCAGGGACAAAGTCTTGAGGTCGTGGGTGCCAGGGTCGTACTCCACCACGGAGAGCTGAGGGAACAGCACCCCAAAAATGGGTTAGGGCACCCCAAAATCATCAATGGCACCCCAAAATCATCTACAGCACCCCAAAGTTACCCACAGCACCCCAAAAGTGAGTTACAGCACCCCAAAACGGGGTCGTGCTCCACCACGGAGAGCTGAGGGAACAGCACCCCAAAAATGGGTTAGGGCACCCCAAAATCATCCACAGCATCCCAAAGTTATCAATGGAATCCCAAAAATCTTCTACAGCACCCCAAAATTATCAATGGAACCCCAAAATTCATCTACAGCACCCCAAAGTTACCTACAGCACCCCAAAACTGAGTTACAGCACCCCAAAACAGGGTTGTACTCCACCACGGAGAGCTGAGGGAACAGCACCCCAAAAATTGGTTAGGGCACCCCAAAATCATCCACAGCACCCCAAAATTATCAATGGAACCCCAAAATTCATCTACAGCACCCCAAAGTTACCTACAGCACTTAAGTTAACTACAGCACCCCAAAATTGAGTTAGAGCACCCCAAAATTGAGTTACAGCACCCCAAATTGGGGTCGCGCTCCACCACGGAGAGCTGAGGGAACAGCACCCCAAAAACGGGTTAGGGCACCCCAAAATCATCCACAGCATCCCAAAGGTATCAATGGAACCCCAAAATCATCCACAGCATCCCAAAGTGATCTACAGCACCCCACAGCTACCTACAGCACCCCAAAATTATCACAAAAGTGAGTTACAGCACCCCAAATTGGGTTAGGGCACCCCAAAAGTGAGTTACAGCACCCCAAATTGGGTTAGGGCACCCCAAAATCCTCCACAGCATCCCAAAGTTATCAATGGAACCCCAAAAATCATCCACAGCACCCCAAAATGGGGTTAGTACACCCCAAAACCAAGTTATGGTACCCCAAAATCTGTAATGGTACCCCAAAACTGAGTTACAGCACCCCGAAAGGGTTTTTGGGGCGATTTTGTGGGGTTTTTCTTGGGTTATGTTCCCTGGGGTTTTGGGGGGTTTTTGAGGTTTTTTGGGGATATTTTGGGGTTTTTTTGAGTTTTTTTGGGGTTTATTTTGGGTTTTTTTTGGGGGGTTTTGGCGATTGAGTTATTTTGGGAGGAGAGCAATGGGTGATTTTTTGGGATTTTTTGGGGGTTTTTTTGAGTTTTCTAGGAATTTTTGAGGTTTTTTCGGGATTTGGGGGGATTTTTTCTGGGTTATCAATGGAACCCCAAAAATCATCCACAGCACCCCAAAATTGAGTTAGTACACCCCAAAACCAAGTTATGGTACCCCAAAATCTGTAATGGTACCCCAAAAATGAGTTACAGCACCCCAAAAGGGTTTTTGGGGCGATTTTGTGGGGTTTTTCTTGGGTTATGTTCCCTGGGGTTTTGGGGGGTTTTTGAGGTTTTTTGGGGATATTTTGGGGGTTTTTTGGGGGGTTTTGGGGATTGAGTTATTTTGGGAGGGGAGCAATGGGTGATTTTTTGGGATTTTTTGGGATTTTTTGGGGTTTTTTTGGAGTTTTCTAGGATTTTTTGAGGTTTTTTGGGGATTTGGGGGGATTTTTTCTGGGGTTTAGGGGTGTTTTTTTTCATTTTTTGGGTTTTTTTCTGAATTTTTAGGGATTTTTTCTGGGGTTTAAGGTTTTTTTTCAGGGTTTTTTTGAGGTTTTTTTTGAGGTTTTGGGGGGATTTTGGGGTTTTTTTGGAGTTCTCTGGATTTTTTTGTAGAGTCTTTGTGGCTTTTTGTGGTTCTTTGGGATTTTCTGGGGTTTTTTGAGGGGTTTTCTGTGGTTTTCGGGGTTCTTTGGGATTTTTCTTGGGATTTTCTAGGTTTTTTGGGGATTTTTTGGGGTTTTTTCTGAGATTTTAGGATTTTTTTTATTTTGGGGGTTTTTTTGGGGGGAGGGGGATTAAGGTTTTGGGGGGTTTTCTAGTTGTTTTGGTTTTAGGTTTTTTTTTTATTTGTGTTTTTTTTTTTTTGGGGGGTTTTTTTGGGGGGGGGGGGTTTAAGGTTTTTGGGGGGTTTTCTAGTTGTTTTGGTTTTAGGGTTTTTTTTTTTATTTGGGTTTATTTTGGGGGGAGTTTTGAGGATTTTTTTGGATTGTTGGGGTGTTTTGGGGGTTTTTACTTTTTTGAGATTTTTGGGGTGGTTGGGGATTTTTGGGTGTTTGAGATTTTGGGGTTTTTTTGAGGGTTTTTTGGGGATTTTTTCCTAGGGTTTTGGGGTTTTTGAGGTTTTTTCTGGGGTTTGGGGCTTTTCTTTGAGGTTTTTTGAGTTTTTCGGGGGTTTTTTTTGGAAGGTTTGGGGTTTTTTTGAATTTTTTGGGGGATTTTTTGCATTTTTTGGGGGGTTAGGGTTTTTTAGGGTTTTCTAGGTTTTTCTGAGGTTTTCTGGGGATTTTTTGAGATTTTTTTGAGGGTTTTTTGGGGATTTTTTCCTAGGGTTTTGGGGTTTTTGAGGTTTTTTCTGGGGTTTGGGGCTTTTCTTTGAGGTTTTTTGAGTTTTTCTGGGGGTTTTTTTGGGAAGGTTTGGGTTTTTTTAATTTTTTGGGGGATTTTTTGCATTTTTGGGGGGGTTAGGGTTTTTTTAGGGTTTTCTAGGTTTTTCTGAGGTTTTCTGGGGATTTTTTGAGGTTTTTTGAGGATTTGGGGTTCTTTTTCTGGGGTTTTGGACTTCTTTGAGGTTTTTAGATATTTTTTTGTGGGATTTGGGGTTTGGGGCTTTTCTTTGAGGTTTTTTGAGTTTTTCGGGGGTTTTTTTTGGAAGGTTTGGGGTTTTTTTGAATTTTTTGGGGGATTTTTTGCATTTTTTGGGGGGTTAGGGTTTTTTAGGGTTTTCTAGGTTTTTCTGAGGTTTTCTGGGGATTTTTTGAGATTTTTTTGAGGATTTGGGGTTCTTTTTCTGGGGTTTTGGACTTTTTTGAGGTTTTTAGATTTTTTTTTGTGGGATTTTTGGGGTTTTTTATGGGTTTTTAAAATTTTTTTTAGGATTTTGGGGGTTTTTGGGGGGATTTTTGGAGGTTTGGGGATTTTTTGAGGCGTGTTTGGGAACTTTGGGATTTTTTGGGCTTTGAGTTTTTGGGGATTTTGGGGTTTTTTCTATTCTTTGGGGATTTTTGGGGGGATTGGGGATTTTTGGGGGGTTTTTTTGAGGTTTTTTTGAGTTTTTTTTTAAGTTTTTGGGGTTTTGGGGGTGGATTTTTTTTATTTTTCTGGGGTTTTGTGGTTCTTTTGAGATTTTTGGGGGGCTTTTTGGATTTTTTGGGGTTTTTATGGGGCTTTGGGGATTTTTGAGGTTTTTGGGGAATTTTTTTATGGGGTTTTGGTTGTTTTTTTGAGGTTTTTAAAGGTTTTTGGGGGGTTTTGGGGGGATTTTTTGTTTTTTTTCCTGCGGTTTTGGGGTTTTTTGAGTTTTTCTGAGTTTTTTTGCGGTTTTTTGGGAATTTTTTGGGGGTTTTTTTGGGTTTCCCCCTTACCTTGGCATCCTTGAAGCTGAGCAGCAGCGCGTCCCTCTTGGCCCCAGCCAGCTGCACGCTGGCCATGGACATGACATTCCCAAAAAACGAGAACGAGGCCACCAGCTCCAGCTTCTCCCGCTGCCCTTTGCCCTCTGCAGGGAAAACAATTGAATTTTTGGGGCTTTCCTCAAAGTTCTGCACCCCCAAAAACTGAGAATCCCAAAATCGGGGGGGTTTTGTGCTTTAGGATTTTTTTTTTGCTCGTTGTTGGTTTTTGTTCTGTGCCCAAAATTAATGAAGTTAAATTGAATTAAGGGTAAATTTGGGTAAAAATCCCATGGGAAGGGGATCAGGGCTGAGGTTTTGGGGGTTTTGCTAAATTTGGGGTAGCTGGGGGGGCAGGGATAAGGGAGGGACCACATAAACAACTGGGAATGGGGGAAATTGTCCCAAAAAAGGGGAAATTACCCAAAAAGGGGGAAAATCAGCCCAAAAAAGGGGGGAAATCAGCCCACAAAGGGGAAAATCAGCCCAAAAAGGGGGGAAATCAGCCCAAAAAGGAGGAAATCAGCCCAAAAAGGGAGGGAATTACTCCAAAAAGGGGGGAAATCACCCAAAAAGGGGGAAAATCAGCCCAAAAAGGGGGGAAATCAGCCCACAAAGGGGGGAAATCAGCACAAAAATTGAGGGAATCAGCCCAAAAAGGGGGGAAATCATCCCAAAAGGGGGGAAATCACTCAAAAAGGGGGAAATTGTCCCAAAAAGGGATAATCACCCAAAAAGGGAGGGAATCAGCCCAAAAAGGGGGGAAATCACCCCAAAAAAAGGGGGAAATCACCTCAAAAAGGGGGGAAATCACCCCAAAAGGGAGGGAATCAGCCCAAGAAAGGAGAAAATCAGCCCAAAAAGGGAGGAAATCAGCCCATAAAAGGGAGGGAATTACCCCGAAAAGGGGGGAAATCAGCCAAAAAGGGGGAAAATCACTCCAAAAAAGGGGGAAATCACCCCAAAAAGGGGGGAAATTGTCCCAAAAAGGGGGGAAATCACCTAAAAAGGGGGAAAATCACCCAAAAAGGGAGGGAATCAGCCCAAGAAAGGAGAAAATCAGCCCAAAAATGGAGGGAATTACCCCAAAAAGGGGGAAAATCACCCAAAAAGGGGGGAAATCACCCCAAAAGGGGGAAATTGTCCCAAAAAGGGATAATCACCCAAAAAGGGAGGGAATCAGCCCAAAAAGGGGGGGAATCACCCAAAAAGGGGGGAAATCAGCCCAAAAAAGGGGGAAATCAGCCCAAAAAGGGGGGAAATCAGCCCAAAAAAGGGGGAAATCACCCCAAAAAGGGGGAAATCACCCCAAAAAGGGGGGAAATCAGCCCAAAAAAGGGGGAAATCACCCCAAAAAAGGGAGGAAATCACCCAAAAAGGGGGGAAACCATCCCAAAAAGGGAGAGAATCAGCCCAAAAAGGGAAAAATTCACCTCAAAAAATGGGAGAATCACCCCCAAAAAGGGAAGAATCATCCCAAAAAGGGAGTGAATCACCCCAAAAATGGGATCAGCCCAAAAAAGAGGGAAATCACCCCCAAAAATGGAAGAGTTCACCTCAAAAAACGGGAGAATCACCCCAAAATGAAGAAGAAATCACCCCCAAAAGGAGAAAATTATCCAAAAAGGAGAATAAATCATCCCAAAAAGGAGAGAATTATCAAAGAAAGAGGAAATAACCCCAAAAATGGAGGGAATCACCCCAAAAAGGAGAGAACTACCCAATAAAAGGAGGAAATAATCCCCAAAACAAAGGGAATTACCCCAAAAACGGGAGAATTATGGAAAAAAAGGGAGGAAATAGCCCCAAGAAAGAGAGGAATGATCCCAAAAAATTAGGAAATCACCCCAAAAAGGAGAGAATGAAACCCAAAAATTGAGGAAATCACCCCCAAAAAGGAGCAGATTCATCCCCAAAATGCAGGAAATCCCCCCAGAAATTCCCAAAGCCCCCCCAAATTCCCAAGTGAGGTCACTCACCCCCATTCCTGTCACCTTTTCCTGGGACCTGGGAGAGAAAATGATGAAATCCCAGCAGTGAGCCCAGATTTGGGGAGTTTGGGGAAAAAGGGGGAAAACTGGGGGAAAAAGGGGAAAGGGGGGGAAAAGGGGGGAAGAAAAGGGGGGGGCAACGCCTCGGGGGT